AATTTATCTGAATTGTAATTCCGTTACCGTGGAATTGCCCTATTGGTTCGAAACATAAGAAAGAATGGAAAAAATATGTGAAGGAGACTATTTTAAAAACAATAATTATGAGAGATACAATGAGGTCTGGTGAGAAAACAAAAATGAAAATGATAAATATCGAAAGCTATGTATTAAAGCCATATATGACAAAACTGTCATTTGATGATGCATGCCTTGTGTTTAGGTGTAAGACGTGCATGATTAACTTAAAAAGTTATTTTAAAAATAACTACAGTAACGAAAGATGTGATTTGTGTGATGAAAATAAAAAAGAAAATTTGGAACATTTATACTCGTGTAAGATATATAGAGGGTATAATAAAGGGGAACGGGTAGAAGATTGGAAAAGTGATGACCCAAAAATACTAAAACCAGCACTAGAATATGTTAAAAAGGCACTATCAATTAGAGAAAGTAAATTAATTAATGCTAACTTGTAGACAGAATTTCATTATCTACAGGATTTCCCCGCACATTCCAAGGAGAATCTGTGCCTTGTGAAATACAAGAGAGGGACCCCAAGATACAAGATACAAGATCCGGCATCCCGCATCCGGGCAATCCGCAATATAAACTTGAAATGTACCTTTCGCTTTTCTCTTTTGATCTTCACAAAAGTCTCTGCACGCTTAAATTTGTTTTTGATGCTGGATATATTTGGCGGTGGGATAGTACTATTATCACCATCATCATCTTGTTTTGACATATGACGAACATGCCTTCGCGTGGACGACGCCATGATGTTTCCTAACGGCGCGTGCCGCAACACGCTGCAATAGGTAAACCAATGTCAGTATTTGTTTCAATGAACTTTCTCAAAGTAATTTAGCCATTAGGTGATATAGGAGTTGTATTATAAGCATGCTTGATATTATCTGCATGTATCTTATAGCGACCTCATTTTTATTATAACATAATAAAATAATATCATAGCATATTTCTCCAGAAGGTAAAGGACGTTATGGAAGTGGTTGCTTCCTCAGCCGCGTTTTCGGATTCCGTCCTCAAAAACAAACAAGTGCGTAGGCCTAGATATCCGATGCTGTTGCGTTTTCTACATGACAGTATAGTGCTCTGCTCTCAACTTTTCTGTGCTTGTTTATAGTTCTAAATAGTTACAACGACTAGTGCCTATTCAGGCTATTGGTCCCAAGTGCCAGTGCCAGTATCCCTCCTCCTAACTTTTCTTTCCTCTATTCTTTGCTGAAAACAATAGAAAATTGATTAATTTCATAGCATGTGATTATATATATATATATATATATATGCAAGTTTATTTTCCATGCAGTTTACATCTTCTGGTTACAGAATTTTAATCATGGGACTATATGGACTATTTTGGACAATGACAACAGTGCAAAATATTTTTAAATCTCCTTTGGCACTAGGGTAATATTTTTTATAATTTTTATGGATCTAATTAAATATAGTTTCATGGCTGCTATAGATATCTGAAATTTGGTATACTAATGCTCAGGAACACATAGTATGTGAATATATGGAGTACATACATGTGAAGTATGCAAGTAATTGTATACATGGACAATTTTGGGGAAAACGTCAAATTGTGAAAAATGAATTGAATGAAATAATTTCATCACCCATACTCATCATCAGTCATAGCTGCCAGAAATTTTTTACACTAGTGTACAACAAACATAGTATGTAAATATGTAGAATAATTACATGCAAATTCAAATTCAGTTGTGTGAATGGTCGGAACTAAATTTCTACGACATTGGAAACATGTTTTCGAAAAGTTTGTTTTATGAAAACACAATTTTCACAGTGATATATTGTCATTTAAGAGCCTGGAAACACCCTTACTTGGATACATTAACGTATGGCCTACAGTTATATCATTATCAGCAGGGCTCACAAGCCTCACGCATTTGGCGTGAGACTCACGCAATTCAGCACAATCTCACGCACGTTTCTGATAGTCCCCGAAAATCTCATGCAATTGCAAGAATCCAGTTTTTATTCGTTGCGTGGAGTGGGTCTAGCCAAACTTTGCCGAAAAACGCAGGACACGAGGCACGGGAATCTCGACATTTATTACTTGTGGCGCACCCAGCGACTGATTTTGCTAATCTGATGTCACGCGTTACTATAAATAGCCTTTCGCAGCATTGGCCGGGTGCGAAGCCTGATGGAATCCTGCTAATATTTTTAGTACTGTTACGATCACTATGTCTATGATTTTTGTACATTGTATGTTTTTCATGCTTATTTAAGCAACAAATATCATGTTCAGATTGCTGCTGAGGGCATCAAATAGCACCCCATTTTTAACAAATTTTCCTATCTGGGGGAGGGGGGACACCCCCTGCCTCCACCCACCCCCCTTCGCGCCTGCGGCGCGCAAAGGCTACTTAGCATTCGGCCTTAGATTGTCTGATTCAAAATAAATCTCACTCATTTTTAAAGCTACCCCTTGAGAGCCCTGTACCAGTAAGAAGTCACAGCGAACTTCCTAGCGGCTTTGGTCAGGCAAGATGGTTCTAATTGTGAATGCAAAGTTTTATGTCATGTCGTAATTTATTTTAAAAGTTATGTCATCCTAAAGTGGCTACACTGGTTCGATTGCAATGATGACTGGCCGAATAATAAACAATCAATAAATCAATGAATGGGACACAACTACCACTACCAGTACCAATATTAACCCGACCAGGCTGTGTGACTGACGTCAATATACAGCCTGACATCCATCCATTGGGAAATCTTGTACCTCTACAAAAACTGCCAAACAATTACGTATATCTCAAATAAAATAATCATCTAAGCATTTCTGCCTTGTTTTGTATTAAGTATAACGTTCACTTATAGTATTCCAGCGTTGTTATTAAAACTAATACCTCAGTTCACTGTGCACAGTGTAAATTTCAAGATCCAAACCGAAATTTCAACTAACCGCCAACCGCCATGTTTCCAGTGCGCATGCTTTGGAACGGCACGCGGAAAACCCGAAACGACATAACATACCATAGCGTTGCAACTCGCGTTGGCGCGAGCATAAATAAGCATCGTATATTCAAATATATATAAATATTAAAACATTGAAAACCAGGAAACATCAATCTACAACAACTTAATAATTATCACTGCGAAGATATGTACTTGCCTTGTGTTTAGGCCTACGCACCGTGAAAATCAGGTCCATTGCCGATTTTAGTCGCACTGAACATGGCGGACGTGGCGGCTGTCTGGTTGTTTTGATCCAATTCATCTCAGAAAAACGGCATAACTCGATAAATAAGTAGCGCCCATTAGCGCCCAGTTACCGCGAGCAAGCCAGAGGTTTATAGATTCGTTTGAGCTATTACATGTAACGCTAGCTGTGTCAATGGTTGGATACCGAGCCAACTACAAGGTTTTATGTGCAAGAATTTGAAACGGTATTCTAACCCTAGCAATACCGTTTCTTGGAGCTATACCAATATATATGACAATGTAGTGAATGTACCATCCACTGATCCAGAACTAGTAATAGTATTAATAATGCTGAGAGGGTCTATGTCCCCCAGGGTACTGCCGGAACGTACCCTGGGTACGGTCCAGTATACCGGAACGTACCCTGGTACCAGAGCATATAAATGCCGGACCGTACCTCGCCTACTCCACTAACGAGTCGCCTACGCCTACTCCCTAACCCTAACCATATCAGATAGTTACCAGGGTACGTTCCGGCAGTACCCTGGGGGACATAGACCCTATTAGCTCCAAGAAACGGTATTGCTAGGGTTAGAATATACCGCAAATTCTTGCCCATAAAACCTTGTAGTTGGCTCGGTAACCAACTATCGACACACCTAGTGTGACATGTAATAGCTCAAACGAATCTATAAACCTCTGGCTTGCTCGCGGTAACTGGGCGCTAATGGGCGCTACTTATTTATCGAGTTATATGCCGTTTTTCTGAGATGAATTGGATTAAAACAACCAGACAGCCGCCATGTCCGCCATGTTCAGTGCGACTAAAATCGCCAATGGACCTGATTTTCACGGTGCGTAGGCCTAAACACAAGGCAAGTACATATCTTCGCAATAATAATTATTAAGTTGTTGTAGATTGATGTTTCCTGGTTTTCAATGTTTTAATATTTATATATATACGAGTATATGATGCTCATTTCTGCTCGCGCCAACGCGAGTTGCAACGCTATGGTATGTTATGTCGTTTCAGGTTTTCCGCGTGCCGTTCCAAAGCATGCGCACTGGAAACATGGCGGTTGGCGGTTAGTTGAAATTTCGGTTCGGCTCTGGAAATTTACACTGTGCACAGCGAACTGAGGTATTAGTTTTAATAACAATGCTAGAATACTATAGTATAAGGTAAAAGTCATACTTAATACAAAACAAGGCAGAAATGATTAGATGATTATTTTATTTGAGATATACGCAATTGTTCGGCAGTTTTTGTAGAGGTACAAGATTTTCCAATGGATGGATGTCAGGCTGTATATTGACATCAGTCACACAGCCTGGTCGGGTTAAGACCCTATGAGCATTACTATCCAAACTACAGGCACTTGGAATGTCTCAATAAAAAAAATTAATGGTAAATAAACACGAAATGTATCAGTCTTAATGTTTCTCTACTCTATTTCGCCTATAATCACCTGTAAATGCCAGTCAAATGCTCATCTGCAATGTAAACAAGAATGCGAGTTCACGTAGAAATGATGAAGAAGATCCAAACTGGTGTGGTAAACTGTACAACCTTTAATACTCATACACCGTGTAGCCACCTCATCAGACAATCGCACAAACAGACAAAGAACGCGCACACGCGCATACGCGCGTCTGCTCACTCTCGCGCCCAGAACCAGAATCCCCCCCCCCTATTACATCTCTCCCTATATATTCGCCCAAAACTCCCTACATCTTGAGCGCACATGTCACCCGTTCTGTCCAGTTCCAACCGTTCCCCTCCTTTCACAATCACCCTAGAAACTACCTAACCTAGAACCCGCTTATCCAACTCCCTGTAACATCAATGCCGCCGCCCAATATGTGCGACGTTCTGTCTAGCTAGACTATGGCTAAAACAACTACCAGTCTAGCTCCACGCACTAATCCATGTGACACGTACCAAAACAGATGTTACATTATCTCCCTTTTCCCAAAAACGATGACAACCCTGTCATCGCTTCAGCGTCCTCGCTGCTCTACACTTTACCCTGAACCTAACCAATTCTAAAAAAAAATTACTACCCAACGAGAGAAACGTCTTTCTGTCCGATTAAACCCCCCACAATCAA